TAGTGAGAACCAGGCCCACTATATCCATCTCAAAACTTCTCACTGAAGCTGATGGGAGTTGAAGACCATCCACACAAGGAGGTACGGGAAGCAGGGACAGCATTCAGTGCCACAAAGGATCAGGCACACTGCAACCCATGGTTGACTTCACACATCATTTTTGCCTGCATAAAGACAAACACTACCAGCCTCCCCTGCTCTGCCAGGAGACAGCACAATACAGGACTCATGTCCTAAACACTCTGAAAAGGAACAAGCTGAATGGAGAAATGCAACGAGAAGGAATTATAGGGAGAAGCATCAGAAAGTAGAGGCCCAGCCTGAAAAATGTGGCTAGCAAAGCAGAAGAGAAAGCAGAGCAAATCTGAGACACAGCATCTTCGTGCCTGCTCTCTCAGAGCAAGAGCCTGCTTTTTCTACAATAAACACTTACCATGTTAGAGATACCCATGTGTACAGAGATACCTTGAGGGATTTCTAACTCTCCTGGTCAAGCCTCTGCTCTCAGTTTGGTTACCAACACAGCATTTCATAGCACTTCTCTTTAGCTCGTCATTCTGTGCTTTCTAAGCCAGTCTCTGCTCTACTAAATCATTGTTATTGCAGCTGTAACTCACAGAGGCCTAGACATCTGGAGCTGATAAAGCCATTACTAATCATTTGCAACTCCCATTAACAAGAGAGTGAAGCACACGTAGTGAAATGCCCTTGTTCATTTGAACTACAAGTAACATTATGAATATGAACCATTCCTAGACACCAGGTCACACAGAACCCATCAGAAATGCTCCAAAACAACACCCATTAGAAACAGAGTTGCTTGGACCAGACCCAAGTTGCATTCAGCCTAGAAACACACACATCTGTTCAAGAGCCCTACAGTTTTCCCCACTCCTTTACCATGTCCCCGATTAACTAGTCTGGTATGTCCTGCCCAAGAGCTGGGAAACACTCTTATACAGCTCACTCAGGACAACAGCATTGCATGTCTAGATTTAATTAGCACCATGCATTGGAAATTAAACACAGCAGTCAATTGTGATTTGATAGCAGAGTACTTAACTGTGAGTAGATCACAGGAGGTAGCCCTATACAGCTCCAGGCCTATCTGTCTTTTCAGAGCCTATCAGGCTGTGTTCCTTAGAAGCTGCACTATCCGTACACACACAAGTAGAACAATACTAGGAGAGCAAATCATTATGTTTTTTCTTTCCCTCCTCAGCCACAGCAAGGAGCAAGCACAAACTCCACCCAGACTGAGGTGTCCCAACAGCTGTGGCCCTACAACTGGACTTATCTCAGAATATCCTGCTTTGGGATATGTGAAACAGCTGGCTCATTCCTCTCCCATGCAGTGCTATTAAAGTCCTTGTTAAAGTAACAAACAATAGTAACTGAATATTTTCTGTTATAAAAACCTTAAAACATGAGTTAACTCTGCAAGTGTAGATAAACTTTGGAGCTAACCCAGAAGATGTAGACTCAGAGAGAGTCAGACATCCACATACCCCAGTTAAAGCATTCAAATAGGAATAAGGCCTGCCTATAGTGTAAACAGCAATATACTTCACTGTGCAGGGTCTATGCTGCAAGTAGGACCTTTTTTTGTAGCAACTCTGCCTCCTACTTCCTTTTCCTCCCACCTTTATGGGCTGAAGGATACTGGCCTTCAGTTATGCTTGCAAATTAACACTGTGGTGTATAAGAACCTGTCAGAAGTGGTTAGATCAACTCCTATTATTATATGGCATGTATAGCAGTATTAAGTTAGTGCTCAGAAGCCCAGGTGTTAGGTTCTGTTCAAACTAAGAGGTTTCTGTGGTCTCTGTCCTAACTCCTTTCAGTCTAAAGCCCCCACCTCATCTTAGTGAAAACGGTCACAGAGCGAGAACAACATGCTCAGATATACTCTGTGTGTTTGTCACGTCAGGACACACTTTCTCTCTCTTCAGAAGCAGATCTATTCAGATGTTTTTTATCATCTTTGTTCATTATAGCCCCAGACATATTTGGTACCTTCCATTGTGGAAAAACCAAGCCTGTGGTTATGTGTGTTGGACTAATACACCTGAAACAGGAGATACAGTGCAGGCTTGTACAGTAAGATGCAGGAAACGTGAGCACCTTCACAGGCACAGCTACCTCATTTCTAGTCCTGAAAAGCTTCCTAAGGCTCTAAAACACTTACCATTTGTCTAGGCTGCTTGGGATGGGAAAACACATCTACCCTTAGTTTTAAATGGGAGAAGAGTGAGACAAGGGCCTCAGAAGAAGCCCAGGGGGAGAAAAGAAAAAATGCTGACAGCAAACAAAAGAGTAAGAAGGAAGCCTGCAGGGTTCATGGAAGGTGGGTATGCTTTCATGGCTGTTTGACACAATTGGCAGGAGCCAATTACCAAGGACCATCTTACTTGGTCTAACAGGTAAGGCTGTTAAGGGGATGGGGAGTTTGGGAAAAGAATAAGCAACTGTCCAGTGAATGGCATGAGGTTGCTAAAGATTGCATTTCAAAGACTAAAATGCACTCCAGTGCAACTCAGGAAACCCAGCCAAGCAAGTGAGAAGCAATGAGATAACAGCCACTGTTCAGAAATGAGAACTGAGCAATAAGCATTGAGAGGAAAAGAGAAGTCTCTGGGCCAGAGTCGGATGTTTCTTAGTGTAACTTTTCCGGTGCAAACACCGCTACTCCCTCATTTACGGTAGTGTAAGGGGATCAGAGTCAAACCCGTGACAGTTGATGCTGGGGGCCATCACACTGACAGTGATGAGAAGGTGGCCCCATGGTATGTTGGACTACATGGCACTATAGAGGGAAGACTTTATTCCTCTTCTCATGAACAAGGTGCAATTGGAAAGCAGGCTTCTGACACATTCAGTTTAGCACAGGCTGAATTGAGTCACTTCCTACAGAGTAAAACCCATTAAAAGTAAAAGGGACTCAGCTCTAAATGGTTTAAGGGCTATTTTTAGTTATTTGTATCAGCCTTAGACGTGCTAAAAGGCAGAAAATCTCATGCTAAAGAGTGCTTCTGTCTCAGATTCACTAAGATACTTTGGAGCCCAGCTGCAGATGGGGCCTGCTGGGGCTTACAGAAGTGCCTGAAGAGATTAAAACCTAACTTCTCTCGGACCCTGGGCTCCTGGATAGCTGCGATAACGTGCTTAATGGCTGGTGGGGTTGCTTTGGTATGTGTTAGTACACATGGGCCATGCCTGCCATGTGGAGGCAATTTTTTAAAGCTGTAGAAATACTAGAATCCTTGGATGACTAATCTAAACTAGTTAAAAACAGGAATTTATAAGTTGTACTTTGACAATAGGACCACAGGCTAATCAAGCTGGAACAGAAGCAACCTTTTGGGTTTTAAAGTGTTGTGGCAATAACGTTTAACTGATAATTATGAAAGTGTGTGTGTGTGTGTGTGTGTGGAGGGGGGGGTGATTGGTAGTTGAGATGATTCACTGATCTGTACACAGGAGTCTGATTGGTAACTGAGATGATTCACTGATCTGTACACAGGAGTCACTCTAATGTGCCTTGGTTAGGACCTTTGCTGGTTGCTTCTGAAGACAGGTGATGTTCTGAGAACTAAATAGGTCTAGAGACTGAGCTCCAGGGAAAATGCACATTGGTAGGGCAGTGAAGCAGCCTGGATTGATTATGTCCTGGAGATGGGAGGGAAGATGTCAGTGTGTTCAGGTTGGACAGTCTGGAGTGTCCCACGACCATTCGTTCCCTGAAGAAAATGTAGCAAAAAGGAATGTGTTGTCACGCAACAGAACTGTAGTCATTGTCTTAGTTCTGCTTTGCACTGCATTTTCTTATCTCCTGGAGGGGCAACAGCAGGCCTGGGCCAGGACGATCAGAAGTAAATCCACTATTAAAACACAGGAAGGCTCTACTGCGGTTTGTAACCGAGACAGCTCTGTGTTCCCTTCTCCCCGTCACGTCTATGCTCATAATGAGGAGGCTGCAAAACCACTGCAGGCCGATTTCTCACAGTTTTTTATCAGAGTCATTTAGAAACGTTAGCCAAGATTAGTGGAGAAGCAACATCATTGAACTTGCATTCACCTTTAAGTAGCCAGAGAAATGTTAACCACAAACGTGAAGTGCACATCTCCAAAGCCACAGTCTCTCTCTCTCTTATTCTTCTTGTACTCAGCAGCCAGGTCATTTTGTTGGAGTTTTTAATATTGCAGGAAAGAAGAAATGAGAGCTCCAAGGGTCTATTTCCTGTCACTGATTCCTGGTTTCACAGCTTGCCACAGAGGCCTTTGGTTTATTCTTATTCAGCATCTAGATACAGGAAAGCCCTTTAATGATGTAAATGAGCAACCCTATTAGGTATTCAAGCCACAGATAAATCCATTCCTATATATGGTTCTTTGGGTAAAGCTGATATCTTTTATTAGACCAACTCAAATAGTTGAAAAAAAATCTTCTTTGTAAGCTTTTGGGCACAAAAAACCCTTCGTCAGGCTGAGGAAGCATCTGCAGTTGGTGTGTGCTCTTCCTGGATGGAATGGTCTGCATGCAAGAAAGCCAGTCAGTGACACTGTCAATTAAGGAGTCAATGGGCTATGTACAGCACTTGAAAGAGAATCAGAAATTTTTTTAAAGTTCAAGTTTCAGTAAAAAGATTGCCATATTTTTTTGCAAAAATTCATATACATTTTCCCAGCTCCAACCATCTCCTCTAGTTTCAGTTGTGAAATGTAGTTAGCACTTGTACAACCATTTTCACCTACAAATACTTTAAGCATGTTCAGCTCACTATAAAATTAGCAGAAACGTTGAGGACTAGGAGTCTGATTTTTACCATCAGTTGTGCCATAGATTTCCTGTGTGATCTTGGCTTCTCCTCTGTAAATTGGGGATAATACTTCCCCATATCGCAAGGCCTTATTTTTTTATATCTTTTTTTTTTTTTTAGGAGGAAATCACTGCTGCTCAAGAAAACCCTTGGAATCAATTGTGAAGGGCTGTAGAAGGCTAACGGATTACAAAACTTTTATGGACTCTACAAATTCATTAGCTAACAACTGGAGATCCAGCACAGTTTAAATTCATTTCCAATGTATGTTCCAGGTCAGACACAGAAAGGTAAGCATCAGTGTTTGTACAAATGGATTCTCAGATCAATCTGATGTGCTAAGCTGTCATCCTTCCTCAGCATCTTTGCAAGACAGGTCAAATAGCTGTCAAGAACTTGAGTGAGCTGCTGACCCAGTTTAACCAGGTTTACATGGGCTGAATTGCTAACTGCGGGATTTAGATTGCGTGTTAATTATGGGGCGTGCGAACTGGGCCCTATTCGATCTGGGCTCAGTTTGCACACCCCATAATTAACATGCAATCTAAATCACGTACCTACTGTGCCCAGTGTCCTGTATTGTCTTCCAGCCCTACCAAGTTACGTACCAATTCTAATTTGAATATTTTTCTCAATAAAGCTTTTACAGGCCTGTTTCAAAACAGCTGTCTGTCTTGACACACAAAAGTGATCAAAGGCTGTAGTGATCATACTTATGGAAAGGAAACTCAGAAAAAGAAGCGTAGGAGACCAGGAATTCTGAGAACAGAACAGCGGGTCTTGGGGCTTTTCTATGTGAACCCATTGGGCTCAGTCAGAGGTGAAGCATCAGTTTGTGAAAATGGCTGGTGATTTATTCAAAATAGCCATCTCTGTGAAAGGCAGCCTTAACTGAGCGTTGACGGTGGCAGCGACGTATTAAGAAGCATCGAACGTTGTGTAGTCAATAGTCTTTTCCCCTTAACATTTCTTATCATGGCTACCACTAATCAAACTACATTAGTGGAGAGCGCTACTGTAAATAAGACACTGGAGCCTGCCATTGTTTTAACTTCTGTATGGTCTGTATCTAGGCTAATAGCCCCCAAGTGTAGTAACAGTGTCAAGCAAACACAATGGCTCACGTACTGATACTGGATTGCTCAGGAAGTGAATGACTTATTTCCTGCACGTGGCCCAGTAGTTAGTAGCCACTGGGGTCAGCTGTTGTTACAGATAATTGGCCAAATCCCACTGCATTAATATAGCTCATTAATATCAATAAAGCTGCATCAATTTGCATGATCTGAGGATTCCATACAAAAATTACCGTAGGTCAGTATGGGAAGATACATCCGGGTTTTCCTGGACATGTCCTCTTTTCTGGCCCTTCGTCTTTGTGTCCAAGCGGGCTTTTAAAAAGTGAGTAAATGTCCGGGTTTTTGCTCTGCCTCTGCTTTTCCCGGGCAGGAGCAGCTTGGATGCTTGGGGCTGGGAGCGGCGGGCAAGGTGATTGGCTGTTGGGGGTCATGTGCTGTGCACACGGGCTCTGTGCATGGAGCTGCGTGGGCAGTAGGGCTGGGGGGGATGGGGGCTCTGGATTGGGAGTGAGGGGCACTCGCAGGGCTGTGGAGCAGGGGCTGCAGGCTGGGAGTGAGGGGCACCAGCAGGGCTAAGGTACAGGGGGCTGCAGACAGGGTCGTCCTTTGGGAGGGCAAATCAGGGCGACTGCCCCAGGCCCCGTGCTTTGGGGGGGCCGCACAGAGCTGTGTGGGAGCCAGGCAGAGCAGCTACAGCCCCGTCCCTCGCAGTGTCAAAGGGGCCTTGCACAGGCTGATTTGCCTGGGGCTCTGCACCCCCCTACAGTCATCTCTGGTTGTGGGTCAGGAGCGAGGGGCACTGGCAGAGCTGGGGGACAGGGGCATCGGAGTGAGGGGCAGAGGCAGGGCACAGGCATATCACTGCCCCACCACAATCATACGCCCCCCTCCCCTTCTTCCCCCTCACCCAGCCTCTTCCCCCCCACAGGTGTCTTCTTGATCCTGGAAATGTGCTAACCCCGGGGAAGATCAGCTCTTCCCACAATTCAAATTCGCTCAACACCCAGGTTCTTAAAAGAAAATCACTCATGGAAGGCAAAGGGCATTCAGTCAGGGACCTTAAATGGTAGCTTTTAATTCAGCACAGGCCTTTCTTTCTTCTGTTTCTGGCAGTGGTTCCAAAGAAAGGCCTTGCTCAGTGCCACTGCTTCAGCCAACACTTCCCTAGGAGCAAATTTTAGTCTCAGGAAATCACCAGAAATTCTAACATTGATTTTGATGCCATAAGACTGTGATCTTTAAAGGCAAATCAAGTAGTGACAGCAGCAGCGTTAAAACCAGCAATTGTGGGGAGATGGCAAGGTGCAGAAACTAATTTAACTGCTGACTGGGATGAATATTAGGTTGTTCAGAAATCATCCGTCATCTCCTGCAACCTAAAAATACATTGGCACCTCCCTAACGTTATCCGGCCTGTTTCCTATTAAAACATTCTTTTGAAGTTCAACATGGGAAGCATGGCTACTTCTTGACTGCTAGATAAGGCACAGAGGCATGACAACAATAAAGGAATGAGACTTTAATCTTTGCCAGTTCCAAAATGGAAACATCGCTTGAGCATGAATTAGGCAAGATTATGATTTATCCCATAAAGTGGAATGACAATCCAAAATCTCAGGTCATCTGTAGGTAAATCTTTCAGCAGTCATTTTTGGCTCTTTATAACTGTCAGTATCCAGATCATCAGCTAACTTGATTCTTCCCGTTACCAGCATGAGGTGAGTTTTAGATGCCTGTCCTGTGGTGGGCTCAGCAGTCCCAGAACAGAAAGCTGTTGGATCTTTTCATGTGCAGCTCCAAAACTGTACAAAAAGGGCACTGTACCCAATCTCCACAGCTGCTGTCCTCTGCAAGCCAGGTGCCACGATGGGAAGTTCTCAAGTCACCATCTCGCTCCATTTACTTTTCTTTCCAGATGCACATGTATTTTGTGCAATACAGGCATGTAGTGAGCCCTGTAAAAAAAAAAATGGGCAAAGTTAACATCTAATGGAACCAAGGACTCTGTATTGCTTCTGGGTTAGCCAGTGATTACTCCCCTCTCTCCTTATTATGCCACATTCAGTTCATTATAAGAGGGTGCATCTTCCTTCTGCTAAATGCACGTGCAGTCCCATAAGCATACGGGGAGTGTAAGGTTTGTTATTTTTGATGCATGTCATAATGCGTTTCTAGAAATGCTGTATTGCTAATCATCCCTGGAGTGTCTCTACACCTCCAAGCACCGGAGGAACTGACTGCCTCACCAACATTAATGAATGCAGACTGATAAGACTCGTGTGAGTCAGGCATGTAGGAGTATCCCCAAAGATACGGCAAGGAGTACAGTGCAGAGGGCTTCTCTTGGGCCGGGGGTAGTGTGCTAGTCACGGCAGGGAATTGCAATTTGGCAATGGCCCTATACTGTGCAGGACTGCAGCGAGACTGTTCTCTCCCTTTGTAACCCACTGGAAGCTAAAGTCTTTGGCAGAGCAGCCCAGTGGTCTGACCTGCCCAAGACCCTTCAGCGGGAAGGTGGGGAGACCATGGATACAAGGTAGTGCTGTGCAGAGATGTGTGCACTAGCTCCTGAACCAGAAGCCGTGTAACCTTGTTCGCATGCACCTGGTCTAATAAACGTTTGGAGAGGCAGCATATAAACATGAGTACTCTGATCCTGATTCAAGAGCTAATACACATATAGCCCAAGTACCTCTGCATAGCACTACCTTGTACTATAAAGACATACCCCTGAGTACCTGGACACCAGCTCCAAGTTCATGGTGCTTCCCATGCTCTGAGAACCCATCCAGTCCGCCTTTACCTGGCTAGCTAACAGGCTATGTAAGTAATTTCCTATGTGCCTCTGAATTTAGGGATTCCCCTCCCTCTCATTATCTCCGGGTGGTTGCTTGCTTTCCTAGTGACCCGCAATAAGGCTGAAAAGACAGATATGGAGGCTTTCACATACTGTCCAGTTTGTAAATAAAAACCAGGTGGTGGCGTCAGGCAGCGCTGGACTCCGTCTCACATGCTTTTTCACCAAGCTTGGCCCGTCTAACAGCTTGGCGTGTCGTCAGGTGATTGATGTCCTGTTTATTGCAGGGCAGAAGTGGATCGGGGAGGCGTCTGAGACATTAGAGCCAGGCTTGAAACAGCTGCCTCTTCCTCCAGCTGTGAATTCCTGCTCCTCGCTGCCTTAACATTTCTGAGTCAGCGTCGCAGCTGCGATGCACCTTTGCATCCCTTCTTGAACAATATCTTTGCCTTCCACTTTTGACCTTTTCCTCCCCTTGTGCAAGGGCCCTAGTGCTGAAGGGACCTCTACGTAGTGCTGCAGTGGCCAGAAGAGCCATTGTAGCATAAATGCAAACCACCTCTAATACCTCCTTGCTGAGAAACAAGGCCCGCTTATTCGGTCCTACCACACCTGCTCATTGCTGCTGTCAGGCTCCCCTGAGATCACTGGGAACACATGCAAGACCCCACTTTTCCCCCCATGAACTGAACAGGCTGCTGGACTGCCAGGTTGAGCGTGTGGCTGGCAAGAGCAAGTGAGTGGGGCTTGTTTCCCAGTGGTGTTTCTGGGCTAGATTGGGAAGACCCTATAGACTTGCTCTAAGGCAGGGGTGGGCAAAATGCAGCCCGCGGGCCAGACGTGGCCCGCCAGGCCATTTAATCCGGCCCACAGGACCCCTAACAAATGTAGAAAATTAATATTTATCTGCCTCTGGCTGCCTGTCATGCAGCCCTTGATGGCTTGCCAAAACTCAGTAAGTGGTCCTCCACCCAAAATAATTGCCCGCCCCTGCTGTAAGGAGCCCGTGCTATAAGCTATGGCAGGGCCAGGCCAGCTGCCAGCAATAGCAGAATGAAGGAGGCCTCTCCACATCAGCCTGTCCTGACGGAGGGACAGTTGAGCCCTCGGACTGTCCATCTGAGATCGTGCTCAAATGGAGTGACCTCAGATGGATTACTAGAAGATGTCAGCAGAATAAGGAGCTATGTGACAGGATATCACGAGAGGAAGGTGTATCCTAGGGTCTGACTCCCCCACAGGAAACCGCATCTGGCAGGAAAGCAACACACACAATCTGGGGCTGTCTGAAACCTACCACTCAGTAGTTGTGGCGGTTTCTTGCAGTTGTGAATATCAGGAACTCCCACCTCTAATCTGCTGGGGACCTGCTGCAGCTTTTCAGAGACACCAGCCATTTCTCTAGCTCAGGCCTTTGCCGCAAGCTTCTTCCTCTTGAGCAGCGTTTCAGTCACTAGGGTATGCAGAGTTCAGCTTCTGCTTTTGAACCTACCACAAAAATATTGAATTCCCTATACTACACACCATGAGTAGGGTAACCCTTATGTTCCCAGATCACATGGATGAGATCCAGAGGTGCAGAAAGACCAGAGACTTGCTCCACGTCACACACCATGTCAGTTTATGGGAGAAGTGGTAAAAGAATCAAGGTCTCCTGACTTTAATGCTGTGCCTTATTCACTAAATCATGCTTCCTCTCTGTACAGTTCATTACTGAGCTGATAACAGCTTATATACCTGGAAGAGAGTGCTAGCCTTGAGTAAAGATTCCAAATTTTGAGAAAAAGATTATTTTATACATCACAGAGCATCGCATCCCAATACAGGGCAAAAAAGTCTGCCCCTTAGAATGAATCTTTCTGACAGCATCCAAAGCAAACAGCTCTGAGATTTTATTAGCATGATTTTGTGTTACTTACAAATCTGCAATGTATAGCTGAATAGGAGATAAAGGGAGATGGTCTGAAAAGTCTTGTCCTTTCATTAAAAACCCCTGTGAAATGTTTGGCTTTTCTTTGCCGAAAACTGAATCAATGCAACTCAAACACTTCTGAAAACTGGGAAAAAAACATCAGTTTTCTACTGAAAAAAAGGATGCATGGAAAGTACACTGCCCAAAACATTTTTAATATGTAAATCTAATTTTCTATTGAAAATGAATTTCAACCAGCTGCCCAGCAAAGCATTTCTTAGCAAGCACTTGTCACGGTGGTAAGGAGTCCAGGCTTCTGAAGTATCTTAACTCTGATCAATCCATGATGAAGTATACGATATACAGAAACAGATCCTCTACCATTATCCAACTCACTGGCCAATAAAGTGACTGAGTGCTGAGTGGCCAACATATCCACCAGCCAAATCAATGGTCCCTTTTGGCAAGTCCCACACCATGCACTACAGCTACAATTGAAGTCTGAACCATGCTCCATCCCAAAATATAAACAAAAACATTGATATGCAGAAGTTAATTCAACTCAACTGACTAAAAATGACCACCTTCTGGTCATGATCATTTGACCCCAGTAGTCTTTCCTGCCCACGTGCAGGGGGGCTGGACCTGATGATCTTGTAAGGTCCCTTCCAGCCCCTGATGTCTATGAATCTATGAAACTACCACATACATACCCTTACTAGAGGATTTCTCCAGCTTGCAATGAGGTGGCTCTGACAAGCTATGTAAGCAGAATAAATCCTCTCATCTTTAACCCCTGGCAACAGAAAGCTTCATTCTGTCACACCCACTATCTCCAGTGGCCTACAGATCAACAGGCCTAAAGTGTCTGTGGGCTCCGGGCTCCCACATTGAAACAGCAGCAGCTTCAGATCAGCCCTGTAGAGCTTTTGGGTTAAATAAATGTTACTGAACTGGCAGCCAACATACACATGCATATTATGATTTGAAACATCTGTATTACAGTGTCAGAGCTTAAAACTGAGATGTCAGTATAAGGTTAGAACTTGTGTGATCCCTATCTCCTGTTCAAATCACACAACTCTCTCCAACTAGGAATTGTTTGCTCTATAATAAAAACATTTTAAAAAGCTATCACTATATACCCCTTCTTGTCTGGCTGTTTCTGAAATTTTAAATGGAAATATTAGAAGTTGTTACAACAGCAAAGACCTGTTGGGTCACTGATGCCATCGATACCAAGGGTAGGATATAATTCATGGTAAAGCATGGGTAAGATATTCAGCTGGTTAAAATC